CCTCGCCGCGCGCATGTGTCAGCTCGCGTGCCTTCAGGTCCTTGACAAACTTCTCTTCGTCAATTCTGCATGTATCGAGTGCAAATGAGATGCATGGGCGTAGATAGCCCCGCAGAGTTGCACTGTGCTCAGGACACTTTTTAATCCACTCGGTGAACATGGGCAAGAGGGGCAGTGCATTGCTGTGAAGCTTCGGGTCAGTTGCCAGCCACTGGGTCAGCAGGTGCACAGTGCTCAGACAGACGGTGGGGCTGGCCTCTAGCACTTCCTGATCGCAGTCCACTCGATCCCTCCAGTCAGTCAGGAACCCAACCGCAGCATCAGCAAGCTTCTGCACCGAGCCCATTGCCGAATAAATGGCTTCCTCATCGACATTGTCCGATTCGAGCTCCTGGTCGTCGAGCCACTGGGACACCCACTCGAGCCAGCCAGCTGCGATCTCAGTGCAGAACGGCAGCTTCCATCCGCGCCTCAGCCGCTGTTGGTCTGGCTTCCCCTTGGCCAGCGGCGGGCTTATCATCATCGAGTCTATCGACGACTGACCCTCGACACATGCCAATCGCAGGATCAGGTCCGACTGCTTGCGCTGGTCGTTGGAATCCTTGTCACTCTTTCGTTTGTCCGCGAACACACGATCCGGCCAGAGTCTCACCAGGTGCGAGGCGAGAACCAGCGCCTGGTCCGCATACTGGGTCGTCTCGGACCTTTGGCGTAGCACCGAGACACAGCCAGAGAGTACGTGGCTGATAAGCTGTGTGCATGGACGTTGTGTGTCGGCCTCAGCCCCGATATCCCGGTCGATTGGCTCCAGCGCATTGGCCAGTACGCCGATAAGCCCAAACTTTAGCATCTGCTGGTTATTGTCGAATAGTGCCGACGTTTTGGTGACAATTTCTACCCACTGGCCCAAGAGCCCATGGCCACGGCTGCTGCTGGCAAATGTCGACAGTCGATTAAGCGCAAAGTCTACGAAACCGATGAGGTCTTTGGTATCAGAGTCGGCTGAGGCCAGGCTGCCAACCACACCAACAAGCCCTTCTGGAGACTCAAGAACCGCTTCGGCACCGCTATCGGTCGAAACTATTTTGCACATTGCCTGGGCAGCCTCGCTTGACACCTGCGGCACCTGGCGGCCAACAATCTGCAGCAGGGTCGGGATGCGCTCGAGCATCTTCGGCTTGGCCGCAATCTGCGAATGGGAGGCAAAGCTGTCGATGACAGGGATCGCGATATTAAGCATAATGGCCGATTTGTCCGCCTGCTTCAGCCCCGTACGCATGAGTCGCTCCAGGAATTTGACGTCCATGGCATCGAAGATGTATTCCAAAGACTCCGCGTCGTCAGGAGCCACAACGCGTGGCACCAGCATTAGTCCAGCAAACTTTTCGTCATCAGTGGATTTGGTCGACAGCAGCTGTGTGCATTTTTCTAGCTGCTCGTGGTTCGGCATGCTAAGTAGTTCGGAAAACACAGAGCTGTAGATACGAGTGACGTCGGCCTAATTACTAAAAGCACAAAGGTATATTTTGACAGTATGGGTGGTGTTTGTCGCTGATTTCAAAATTATTCCATATGGCCGGTATTGGAAAGATATGGCTGCAAAATGTCAACCTTTCTGGAATGCAGGAGTACAAAAAGATCAAATCAAGTGGCCACTGAAAGATAGTTAAAGACGAACATGTGCTCAGTGGTGCTTGCACTTGGAGGGCTGGGTGGCGGTGGCCTCAGGAGCAGACGAAGCCGGAACCTCCTCGGTCGGAGTGGCGGTAGCCGAAGGGGCAGCCGACGACGACGAAGCACCTGGGATCTGGCAGCTGTCAGCGGGCTGAGCATCGACCTGGAAGTAGTTGGCACCAATCAAGGTCATATCATTGCTAGCAAGGTAGCCCTCGAGGTCGAACTTGGGGCGAGTTGCGGGGGCAGTAAGCTCGGGGAGCTCCTTGGCCTGCTCGGCCAGAACCCACACAAAGCGCTTGCGGCCGCATCCAGGGAACGGGTTCGGGTTCAAGTAGGGAGTGCCAGTCGAGTTGCCAGCAGCAACATTGCTACCCGGGATGTTGACAACCAGCCAGTGGCGCATCAGGGCGCGGATCGGGTTGGCGCGCGACGGAGCGTCGGGGTCGACCAGGGCTAGGGTGTAGAATTTGGCGGGGTCGGCATCCCAGGCAACAGTGGGAGCCTGGGCGGTCTCGTTGGGCGGGTTGAACAGATTGCCAAAGTCGACAGCATGCTCGCCCCACTTGACATTAAGCAGGGTCTTGGGCTCGAAGGAGACGGGCAGGACACCAGGGATGACATCGTCAGCCTGGAGCGCGGGCTTGACCTCGTCAATAGTCGAGACACCGTAGACGCCCATGGCGCAGGCAAGCGAAGTAATGGCAGCAGTGAAGCGCATGGTGAGTCTGTTTTCAAGAAAGCTCGGAAGCGAGAAGGTCCAAAGGGAAGGGAGAAGGGGTAGGGGATATTGCTCAATGTGAAGGGAAGGTAGGGCTCTGGAGACTGCACCAGACATGGGGAGAGCGAAATGACTTTTATAGCCTAGCGGCGTACGACAGTACTGGTGCAAGTACAGTCCCCGAAAGTACGGCTTTGCAACACCCCAACATGCGAGTAGGGCAGTGCGGTGAATATTTCAACCACTCGTGGAGTTTATGCCACTAGCACCTGGAGCGCCATACAGTGTTTTGCCGGCTGTAAACAGTCGGAAGCACGATACACATCCCGGTTTTTTGGTCAAGCTAATCTATCCAATGGAACGCACGACTCCTCTTCAATAGGTCTTGGCAGCTAGAGATCTTCACTATGGCGCTAGGATTTCGCAATCCGCACGGACATAGGAACCTAGTTCTATTGGATCGGGGAGATATCCCGGGATGCCAAGACCACAACACATTTCTCCTTGCAAAAAAGCGGCGAATTTTTACCAGAGAAGCTTCTGCTCTGAAATGTTGCAACAGCTCTCAGCACTAGCAATGCCCAGACAGTGCTCCCTAAATGCAGAAAGCGCAAGGCAGGGCGGGATATTTACATGCTGCTGGAAGCGCATCGCACACGTGCAATCGCAATATGTCTAGCCAAGCGAGCGCCACGAGGTGGAGCTGCATGTGGTGATTTAGAGGGGTCTAGGAAATATTGCCAAGAACGACAGCTAAAGAATTCTAGGCTACTCTGATCACCATGCTAGAGCTGGATTAGCATATTTGCATGAGAATCCGAAGTGGTGCCATTAATATCGGTCAACATCAGTCCTGGCATGTAGACCGCCTAACAGTGAGGTACTGGCGTAAATGTGAACTCACGGTACAGTGATGAATTGAAGTGAGCCATCAAAAAGGAACATGAATAATGTCATTAAAAGTAGTTCGATGCGCCAACAGCAGCCACGGCAAAGGCAACAGCTAGAGGGAGAGCAAGTCCGGCAGGGCTGCTGTCAGAGACACCGTTTGACTGGGTAGTCTTGGCACCAGACGACGAGCTACTGGTTGAAGTAGAGTGGGCGGAGGACTCAGCCGAGCCGAGTGGGTTAATCGAGCCTAGCTCTGCAGATGATTTCCCCGACGACTTCTCAGACGACTTCTCAGACGACCTCTCAGACGACCTCTCAGATAATTTCTCCGATGGCTCATCAGCAGAATCCTCAGTATCTGACGGAATGATGGCACCGGGGCAGAGCTCGCCATTATCGGATACAGCCACAAAAAAGTTCGCGCCAACCAGTGTCATCTTGTTGTCAGAAAGATAGTTCATCAGGTTGAACTTATCACGCGAACCAGAGACAGCAAGACCGGGGATCTCCTTGGGCTGCTCAGCAAGTGCATAAACATAACGCGCCATACCGCAATCAGGGTCTTTAGCGCCCATATAAGGAGTGTCAGTCGAACTGCCCTTGGCAATATCGCTACCTGGGATGTTGACAACAAGCCAGTTGCGCGTCAAGTCTTTCGAGCGGTTGGGAATCGTAAAATCACCAGCATCAATGAAAGCCAGAGTGTAAAACTTGGACGAGTCGGCTTCATACACAACGGTAGGCTCTTTGGCGGTTTCAGCCGACGTAAAGACGTTTCCCCTGTTGACCATATGGCTGTAGGTCACATTAAGGAAGATCTTAGGTTCAAAGGTAGAGGGGAACACGTCAGGGATGATTTTGTTTGACTCCAGATTTCCTAGGAGAGGCGACACAAAGTCATAGTTGACACCTCCAGCGGCGTAGACACCAACGGCGCAGGTGAGAGCTGTGAGAACGGTAGAAGAGCGCATGAATGGTTTCGGATTTTAGGATTAAGGAGCGGTTCGGCTGAAAAAGGAATGGGGACGGAAAGAGGGTTGACAGCGTGTAGGAGGAAAGCAGTTTTATAAAAAGTTGTGCTAGGGGGACGCAGCTACATATATATGGGTATTCACGGTTAGGATCCTCTGAGCTGGCTTGTCAGAGTATAAAAGCAGCTTCACGCTATTTTCTAAAATAGAGCAAAGTCCGAGAAATCAGACCAGCACTGTCGATCAAATAATCCCTACAGATTGAGGAAAGAGCCGATTTCCGTGCCAAAGTAGCATGGGGTTTCTAACAGCCTTCATTGCAATAGCTATACCATATGCTGTTTTCTTGCATTCCATAGCATTGAATCCAATTTCTTCTGCAAAATTAATTGGCGAGCTGGCTCCATTCTTTATTAAACAATTTAATCCAAGGAATACTAGAGATCCGCATGTGCACCACAGCAGAACCGGATCCGTCCTGGGTCTGGAAGACTAAGTCATGAAAGCCAAGGCGAACCAAAAAGGTGGGAAATGGAAATATGGACAGGAATCCCAAGGAACCCTCCACGGTGTTCCGATGATGTCGTTACACTGTGACAAAAGCCTATTCACATCTAACGCATGTGGATACTGATATGTGCACAATAATTATGGACAGATTTACAAGGGGTTGTGGGCAACACCAATGACCACTTCATAGGTTCTTGCTTATTGCATTATTTTACATTCACCCTGCTTCATTTCGAAAATATTGATACAACAAAGCCTAATAGTAGCTTGATGAGCCAAGAGCGGCCACGGCGAAGGCAATAGCCAGGGCGAGAAGAGCTCCGGTAGGACTGCTGGTAGAGGCACTGTTCGGATGAGTAGTTTCGGCACTGGATGACGAGCTCCTAACTGATGCAGAGTGAGAGGTAGATTCGACAGAGTCGAGCGAATCCAGCTCTGAAGACGTTTCTGTTGTTGAGCATCTCGCCATTGTACGTCACATTAGGGAAAACCGTGGGTTTAAAAGATGGCGGGAACACATCAGGGATGAGTTCGGATTGTTCCAAATTTTCAAGGAGCGGTTTAGTAAAGTCGTTGTTGGCACCTCTAACGGCGTAGATACCAAGGGCACAGGTGAAGGCAGCGAATATTGTAGGTGCACGCATCCTTAGTTTAGAGTAGAAGATGCGTATGGCTGGGAAGTTCAGAGGCGAGATGATGAAAGTGGGGATTGTGCTTGGGTGTATAGCTATATATATCTATATGCTAATCGCCTCAATGGAGACCATATAAAGGATTGATGCTAAAGAGAAAAGCATTGTACTATTCCTGGAGAACCCTGAGGTCCAAGAAATCAGGCAGATGTTGGGAATCGAACAATCCCTATAAATAGACACAGGTAACGGGTTGCATATAACAGCATAGGGTCTCCAGAAATCCTCGCTGACATGGCTGCACTGTGACATATCTTGCATACAGAGTGGTATGTGTGTTTTCCCGCAGTGAAAATGGCTGCATAGCGGATGGGCTGGCAGCACTCTCAACAATGCACAGCACAGAAACTTAGTATCTAATTTTTTGAAAGACAAACACTGCAGTTTATTTCGCAAAAAATATTGGACATCTACCCGAATTTGTGTACGAAAAGTGGAAACAAAGCTGCTCTTCTGAAAACCTCACCATGGCTGTTTGGTATACTTGCTGGGCTGCAAGTGTGGCGAAATCGTGATTTGCGCTTGCACTTTGGGATAAAAGCCTACTAGACTGTCGGCGCTCAGCTTGTGTTCTCCAGAAAATCTGCAGAAATGAGTGGCATATCTTGCGTGCAAACACTATCCGCACTCATAACTCACGCTCCTGCGGCAGTATCAAGGATCCAAGCCTGCCTTCAGTATGTACAGTGTTGTGCGGATGTAGCAGCCATTAGATTGAGATTTGGGACAATTTATTCTATGCGTATAGAAATGGCATATTGCTCGAGAATCTAAGTAACGCAATACTAAAAGTAGTTGGCTGAGCCAACAGCGACCATGGCAAGGGCGGCAATCAGAGAAAGAGCAAGTCCGTTAGGGCTATTGCCAGAGGCACTGTTCGGCTGGGTAGTCTTGGCACCAGACGACGAGGTACTGGTTGAAGCAAAGTGGGTTGGGGACTCAGCCGAATCAACTAAATCGAGCGAGTCGAGTGAGCCTAGCTCCACTGACGACTCTGAAGACAGCTCTGAGGCCGACTCATCAAAGAAATCGTCGGCATGTGACGGAAGGCTGGCACCAGGGCAGAGTTCGTTGCTATCAGTGAGAGCTACAATGAAATTTGCGCCAACCAGTGTCATCTTGTTGCTGTTGAAATAGCCCATCAGATCGAACTTGTCACGCGAAGCAGAGACAGTAAGGTCAGGGATCTCCTTAGGCTGCTCAGCAAGTGCGTAGACATAGCGCGTCATTCCACAATCAGGGTTTTTAGTGCCCATGTAAGGCGTGCCAGTCGAACTGCCCTTGGCAATATCGCTACCCGGGATGTTGACAACAAGCCAGTTGCGCGTCAAGTCGTTTGAACGGTTGGGAATTGTTGAGTCGCCGGCATCAAGGAAAGCCAGAGTGTAGAACTTGGACGGATCGGCCTCATACACGACAGTAGGCTCTTTGGCGGTGTCAGCTGGAGTTAGGATTTCCCCAGTGCTGATGGAGTCGTCGTTGTAGGTAACATTAAGGTAAATCTTGGGCTCAAAGGTAGCTGGGAACACGTCAGGGATGATCTGAGTCGACTCCAGATTACCGATGAGAGGCGAGGCGAAGTCATAGTTGACACCTCCAGCGGCGTAGACACCAACGGCGCAGGTGAGAGCGGTGAGAACGGCAGAAGAACGCATTATTGGTTTCAATTATCAGGCGCAATAAAGAGAAAATCAGATGGAGATAACGAAAAACATGTAGAAACACCACTCAATTTAAGCCCTGGGCTGCGCAAAGGAAAGGCGGCAAACGCCAATATCAAGAGTGCTAGAAGCATTTCCGAGGCTTCCTTTTGCTGCTGTTGACGATCTAAAGAAGGAAACTTGTGCAACACAGCATTCAAAGGATGGCCTTATCACTAACAAGTAGTTGTCTTGCAAGCAGCGCTTCCAGTTCTGGTTGGATGGACCGGCAGTGTGTTTGCAACAGCTGGTAATCATGTCTGGTTGAGAACGAAGAATAGTCAGGCCATTGGCCTGAACCGGTGTGCTGCAAGGTTGATTGGTCTGCCAATGACTGAATCCAAAACATCACGATACGACACCAATCGGTAAACCGCGAGACTTTGCAAGCGGAGGCTTTTCCGAGCCGTTTGACACTAGCACGTAATCAGTCGGCTGACTGCGCATCTTGTGCAGAGCTATGGTCTCGCTCAATGTGCATTCCACCCTAGCCAGGCTAAAAATTGCAGGTTACTGCTTAGCGAGTAGGCATAGCAACCTAATCCGTGAGAGCTTATCATGGACACTCTGAACTTGTCCTGCTCAACATTATGTTCCGCCGAAAAGGCCAGTCGGGCGAGCCGCACAAGCCCAATGTAGTCAAAGATATGAGCGAATGTTGTGTCCATCTCGACATCTACGTGCTCCAATATCCGTGAATTGCCACAGAATACAACGTTGTCATGGGACGGGCGATTGACCTTGCAAATAAACTTTCGTAGGATCGGGAAAACAACGATGTCTGATGAACCAGACAGGCCAGGCGAGTCTCTCCTGAAATACGTGTGTCTATGAGCAGTGTGGAAGGAGTCGAGGCTTCTGAAAATGGCTGGGACCCATCTCTCGTTTCGAGCACTAGGGCTATTTTGCGGAGTTTCACGTTCTCGATGGTTTCCGCATAGCGGTGTACCATCTCCAAGGAACTTCCCCGGTTTGAATCATCTGACAGGTGCAAACCTTGCAACTGTGACTGCTGAGCCAAACCAGCCGCGGGCGTTGATTCTATCTGCCTGTGGAGGCTTGTCAGCAGCGTGTCACCGACAAGCACAAGCTTTCCATCTATGTGGTACTTCAAGAGCACATCATCTACGTTAGGAAATATTCTCTTTAGCGCATCAGTGAGAATCTTAGCGCCTTCATAGACCCTATCTGGTGGACCCAGCCCGGAGCTAAATGGAAATGAAGAGTCGGTTGTCAGACTAGTAACTGACAGAAGTACGGGGTTTGCAGAAAATAGATAATCGATAGCTGTGCTGCGTACCCAGCCGCAATCATGTAGCGACGAATATGTAATGTTGCAGTTCTGTCACAGCTGAGCGCTTTGCGGATACTGAGCTGGCTAATGGATGTAGCGTAGCCATTTGCAGGGGGTCCACTCATACAGTGACCATGGCTATTGTCAAGACAGAGGTCCAAGTTCTGGAACATCGCATTATGTGTGGTAGAACGCTAACCCTTACAAATGTCGCCGAATGGTAGTCTGTTGTTCGAAAATGGTGGCTTTGGTGGTGGAAATAGTGCACACGGCTCTGGCCGAGGTAGCAAGCCAAGCATTATAATTGCAATGATAGCCTCCAGTGTTGGGACTGGTAGGATCTGCGCAGGCGACATGATTATAGAAAATCGAGGCGCAAAGTAGAATATGGCGAGAGAAAAAGCAGTGCTGAGTGTGTAAGTGGAGAATGTAGAGGAATGTCAGAATGCGGTCATGAGAGGCATGTATATAACCCTTGATCGCTCCTGACTAATTAAGCAGGTGATCACCAGTTTTTTTTTTGCATTTTTATGCAAGTGCCTTGAACTAGTTTTTTCTAAGCTTTGGTTCAGCTCTTGTTCTACTCGTTTTTTGTACCTTCAATTATACTAGCCAAAAATGCCAAAGAAGTTTATTGACAAAAAGAAGGCCACCACATACAAGCTCGTGTATCGGTCGCAAGACGATCCGCTGGCGTTCGAGGAGGGTGCCTCGGATCGCGTGTTCGTCGAGGTCGGCAAGTCCGGGCAGCCCAAGAACAAGGGCAAGATGATTGATCCGGACCAGACGGTGGAGCAGAGCCTGCGGGACCTTGCACTTGACGATATCCCTGAGGAGGACCTGGATGGACCGCGGGATGCCGGCAAGGCTGCATTGTACGGCGTGTATCTGGATGACCGGGAGTACGACTACACAAAGCACCTGCGGGTGGTGGGCAGCGGTGGCGGTGTGATGCTGGAGGCGTCTGGTGCGAAGAAGGAGCGGGCGGCAGGAATCCAGTTCACTGAGGAGGAGGAGGAGGAGGCGGCGGCGGGGCCGAGCAAGTTTGCGATGCCGGCGGAGCTGCTGCCGTCGCAGCACCACATGGACATCCGGGCAGAGGCATTTCCGACAGGTCCGCAGCCGCACATGAACTCGGATCTGCGCGAGGCACTGGAGGCCCTTGAAGACGATGGTGTTGAGGAGTTTGACGACGACTTCCTCGACCAGCTGAATGCAGACCAGGCGCCCGAGGGAGCCGAGATGTCGGATGAGTACGACGAGTTCCAGGACGACGAGGACTTTGATCCCGAGGATGTGTTCGCGCACGTGCGGCGCATGAAGGCGCAGCGCAAGTACGACTCGGACAGCGAGTGTGGGTTCTCGGACGATATGCCTGAGGCGGCGTCGGACTTTTCGATGTCCTCGTCGGCCATGTTCCGAAACGACAAGCTGACGCTGCTGGACGACCAGTTCGACGCAGTGGAGGCGATGTACGAGCGTGAGGAGACGGACAGCGAGGATGAGCGGTACGACGAGGACGGGCATGGCATCGTCGAGTACGACTCGGATGGCAACGCCAAGAGCATCTCGACGCGGCCTGACTTCCAGCACGTGATGGACGAGTTCCTCAGCGAGTTCGAGCTGACAGGCAAGCGCCTGCAGGTGAAGCTCGAGGGCGGTGATGGGGCTGGCAAGCTGTCGACGGTGCGCAATGCGATGCTCAAGGAGGGCCAGGACGCCGATGCGAGCCGCAAGGAGCTGCTGGAGAAGGGCCTGAAGATGATCGACGAGGCAAACGAGC